CAGAATGAGGTGAGAAAGGGGCTCGCCTTGATATTCCCAGCACCTGGTCTGCACAGGGAGAACAACACCGTTCAGGAACCCAACATCTCCCTCCAGCCTCTCAGACTTTCAGCTCAGTGTCTGAGGTACCCAGACATAGTTCAGGGATAGATACAGAAATCAACCAGGGTCACTGAGTGGCTGCAGAACATCTGTCAGATGTTACTTCAGAAAAAGAGCCTAGGCCTCTTCTCTGCTCGTTTTGAAACTGGAGTAAGAAAAGGCAGAGCCGTGGGAGCATCTGAGTCCTCTTGCAGCTGGTGTGCAGAGGCTGACCGAGAAAGGAACCCACACAGCAGAAGACAGAGGAGGTAGTGAGGGTTCAAGATGCAGGTGACAGTTCCCAAGCCCTGGATCAAACTGGGCCTGAAGTCCCACCCCTAGACACTTTCAGTTACATATGCCAATAAGTTCATTTTAAAATTAGACAGATTGAGCTGGGATGCACTAACACTTTCAAACCCCCTCACCTCACCCCAAATTTCCCTAGGTCAGTATATAGTCATTATAATGAATCCTTGTTAAAAGTCAGTTTGGATAGGCAGAGAGTGAAGGTAGAGTATGAAAACTGAGTGTTGGTTGAGTTGCTGGGTCTGGAGGGTTAAATGACAGACACCCTCTGGATGCTCCTTTGGAATCTTTGGGACCATGCATGTTGCCTGGGAGCAGATGTGACTGAGCGAGGGATCAGGAGAGGGACTGGAAGAGAACGTGCGCTGTCACAGGCCACAAAGCCACAAAGGCAGACACCCTGCGTTCCTTCTCCGGGCTGTGAAATGGCCTTTCTGGCACCTCGTGCGTGCATGTGAGAGATGGGACTGGGTGGGTGGGGGGTTGTTCCAGGAGATATGGGGGTGCAGGAGCCTGAGGTGGCCTTCTGCCCCAGGCCAGCTGCCTGGCCCTGCTCCTACCCCAGAGGCCTCTGTCTTTGTCTCTTGTCTGGGAGGTGACAGGTGACTTCTGTGGGAGACGGAGAGGAAAGCAGGAGTGGGAAGATATTAATGACTGAACGGAAGCTCAGGCGTGGCCAGCACCTGCGGCCTCGGACCCTGGAGGCACTGTGTCCTGAAATAACTTTGGGCTGATTTCAGGAGAAAATGTCTCAAGGTTGCCTCAGAGTTGTCCTCTATCCGGCAGTCACAGGGGTCAGGATGGGGGTATGTGTGGGTCCTCAGTTTCCCCAGTGGAGGTCAGCAACACAGTGGGCACTGGTGGGCACTGGTCACGGGATAGCCCCAATACAGCAATTTACAGGCCTCTGCGGGCGGCCCCACTCTGCCTTCCTCACCTCACGGAAGATGGGGAGCTCCGAGGCCATCCCCCCACTTTGGACAATGAAGTGAGGCAGCAGGTGGGCAGCCTCAGCCAGAGGGGTGCAAGTAACGGGGCCCTGACCCTGAGGGGCTTCCCTGGGGCAGGGAGAAGTGAGGGGCAGAGGCCAGACCCAGTCCCTCTGGCTACGGACAACCCCTGGACAGGAAAAAATTTTTCTACACTTTGTCCTGGGGGTTGGGGTGGGATCCCCAGCACCATCACGGTGGGATTTTGGGGCACCTGTGCAAGCCAGCATGAGCTTTGCTCTCATCCCTGCACACACAGTTTGCACGGTGCCTCTCTCGGGGGCTACAAGCCTCCCCCTTTCAGGAGGGGACAGCCAGCTGACCTGGCGGGGAGCACCCACCTGTGTCACATGTGTGACCCCAGGCAAGGCCATGCCTCAGAGAAGTCCCAGTCATGGGGCGATGGAACCCCGGGGGGCAGAGAAGACACATCTGGAGGCTTCTGGAAAAGGAGGTCCCCGCTCTCCACTGCCCAGCCCTTCCCACCCTCTTCTCTTGATGACCACATCAGATGGCGGGGGCCCTTCACCGAGGAGTCAATGGGCAAACGAGCTGCCTGAGGCCTCCTGGCTGCTTTATAGTCTGACTCAACCACGTCTGTGTGTGGCTGAGACCCCGCAGCAGCGAGACCCGGCGGGCACCTCCCCTTTGGCTGCGCTGGGCCCAGTCCCTCTTCTGGAGGGCCACGGTGCAGGCTTAGGGGAAGTTCTGAACTTGGACCCAAGGTGACAACAGACCACCCAGAGCACACACAGGCGCTCCAGTCCACTGTGCTCGGTCCTTCCTGTGTGGTGGGAGGGTCGGCTTGGGGGAGCAGACGAGCCCAACAGGGGACATGCTTTAAGTGTCCCAGCTGGAGCCGCCACCCTGCACAGGCGTTTACACGCACACACACGTGCACATAGCACACACCAGGAACAATGCGTGTGTCTGCACACATATACATACATGTGCGCACATGACAGGAATGTGGCGGGCTGCCTTGCTTTCCTACCTGACGCTAAGGCTCAGGCAGCTCTAATGAAAGGGAAAGGTCAGCGCGGCAGAGCAAAGTGACCTTTAACAACAGGGGGCTGTGTCGGTCTGAGCGATTCTGTCTGAAGGGAGAATGACCTTTTATTTCGCTCTCCAAGGTGACATTTACGCTCAATCCACTCCACTGGGAGGTGCCAGGTGCAGACAGAAAGGAGACACTCAGCTGCCAGGACATGCTTCTCTGGCCACTGGGAGGCACAGTCCATTCTGTCTCCTCCCTCCGCTTTGCTACCCTGGCGGAGGCGGAGATGATGGTCACAACTGTGCCCTGGACTCTCTGGGGTGTGGGACTGGGAGTCGTGGTTGCATGTGTGATGAGGGTCATCAAGGAATGGGGCTCCAATGTACGTGGCGGGGCCTGGTGCCGATCTGCCCTGGGGAAGCAGAGCCAGCAGCTGGGCAGGGAAGGGGCCGGGCAGCACTTTGGAGCCTTCTAGAACAGTGAGCAGCTGGAGTTTGCTCTTACAGAATGACTGGTAGGCACCAAAGGCTGGAGTGTGTGTGTGTGTGGAGGGGGGGGCAATGCCTCATCACTGGGCTGTGAGTGCAGAGAGGTGCTGTGGGTGCGAGTGGCTGTGGGAGCTCCATTAGGGGCTGTCATAGTCTCGAGTGACAGTGACAGGAGTGAGGATGGCAGCAGCGGAAATGGGGATGGGTGTTTAGAAGGACACGCTGGACTTGGATTTGGTGGTCAGACTCTGGACAAGTGTATCCAGATGCTGTTCTAGGAGCAGGGGCTTGGGACGGGAGTCACGGGGGCGGGGGAGGGGGAACATCCAAAAGGCAGAGCCCTCAGGAGGGGACATCAGGAAGGCAGGCGTGAAGAGCTGACCCCGGGGAACCCCATGTTGCTAGGCTGAGAAAGAGCCGGGGGATGAGGGGAGGCCACAGGTCATGGAGCGAGGCCTGAGGGGCCTCCAGGCCTATGCCCCGTGGGTTACTATTCTCCTACCACCAGTGCCCGAGAATCTCCCTGCTTCCTGGGGAAGTCGGGGTGGGACAAGGCCCCCGGACACTCCTTCCTGGAAGTCTGGACTGCCCACACCTCTGGCCTCTCCATGTTCCTCACACGTACTATCAGCCCTGCTGACAGGGACCTTGGGGTGGGCCACAGGGCCAGGCCCACCAACGTCACACCCTAGATGTGGGGGACAAGGACTCATGTTCCCATTCAGGGCATGAGATTTCCAAGGTCATAGTCACAGACTGGGGGCAGCCAAGTGTCACCTGGAGCCAAGTGACCTGAGCAGGTGGCCGTTGTATGGGGGGGCAGAGCTGAGAGACCAAGAAGGTCGTGCAGAGCCAGCCTGAACCGGGGGAGTCGGGCTCTGCCGCAGAATTAGCACGCGGCCTCCCTGCCCCTCAGTACACTTTCCTCCTTCTCTGAGCTGTGTCCCCCGGCTGGCCCCCAGACCTCTGCCTTTCACATAGCGTAGCACTTATCAACCATTTTCTGAAGGGCTCTGAATGAATAAATGTTTTATTAGTCACTGTGGCTCACTACCGGGACACGGGTAACTACCGAAGAAAGAAAATGTGGCTCCATGCACCCTTAAACTAAGAAAACAAACAACAATCAAAACCCAAACGAAGTGCAGCCTCTCTGGTTCCCACACTGCACAATGTCATTAGTCTGATTATGGGAGCAGCTTCTTGAAAGTACAAAACAAGCAAAGCATGCCGTTGTCTCCAGAGGGAACGGACTCATTCAACTAACTTAACATCAGAATAGCTTCACAGTCTCATGTTTGATGCTCTTTAGGCCAGGCTGGCTGATTTCTCCAGAACTATTTTACATGTTCCCCCAAACCGGAGCCGTCCATGGCACCGGCCGCGCAGGCTGGAGGCCCAGGTGCTTCTGCGCTGCTCCGGGCATCATTAGTCTAGAAAGCAGCCTGGTGGGCCACGTTACCATGGAAACAGACTAGGAAGGAAAGGGGCTGCACACACCAGAGGGCTCTGTGGGGAGGACGGAGGTTGATCCACCGTCGGTGTGTGGGATTTGGCAGTCCACACAGCCCATGGATAGGGGCTGTCCTTGATGGCCAGTCCAGGCTGCCTGGTGCAGGCCTGCCTCCACTGGGCTGCACAGGAATTTTTTAAGGAACTATCTCCAGATGAACTTGGTATTTAGCTTGGAAGCGAACGGCACAGTAATAGCATGGAGAGACGTCACTTGTGTGTGCGCGCGCACGCACACACACACACACACACACACACACTCAAGTCAGCTTGCCCTCCTGAAAGTCTGTGAGGACACACACACACACACACACACACACACACACACACACACACACATGGGCCAGAGGGAAACCTATGAGAGACACATGACTCGACGGGGGCCACGCATAGTCCCTGCAGTGTCCTCCCCAGCTGCTGTTCCGGGACAGACGCCACTTCAAAGACATAATTTTCCCATGACAGATGTCTGAAAAGCCAAGCACAAGATTCCCACGGAAACAGCAGGCCCGTCTTCTGCCTGGGAAACGGGGTACCAAGCCTGCTGGGGGGGTGGTCACCCGGGAAGCCTGTGAGCAGCAGAGGGTGGCCCTTGGAAGGGGGGAGCCGCTTTGGGGGTGGTACCTGATGTGGTCTTCTTCATCTTCCACCAGGAAGAACCAGCGGAACTTGACTGTCAAGGGGCTGCAGTTGGTGATGTTGATGTAGCGGATGACTTCTGTGTCATTGAGGATGCAGCCGAAATTCAGGTCCATGGTCTCGAAGCAGAGGTTGGGGTAGTACACTTCCCCTCGCAGGTTCACGCTGTCCACCTGGGGGTGCTCTATATACTTGATGGACAGCATCTCCTCTGCGACCCAGTTGTTCAGGTCCGTCCTCAAGGAAGGGTCGAACTTGACCAGCAGGCTCTTTTCCTCCTGAGTGCTGAGCCGAATAGGCTGTGTACAAGGTCACAGGGAGTTAGTGCATTGTTATCAAACAGGAGTTCATTCACACATGTTTACGGACACACAGAGACACTCAGACAGACGTCCATATTAGACACACTGCTTTACTTACTGCCAATTACATCTCTGCCCTCGGACATAAACAGTCAGTATAATGGTCTCTGTGCTACCAAAATCTCTCTATGTTAATGTGCATGCACATGGATGGATTTTTTATTACAGAAAAAAACGAAAAGTCTAGTTTTCTGGAGAGGAATGACCTGAAAGAAGTAATGCGTGTGCACGTACGTGTGTGTGTGTGTGTGTGTGTGTGTGTGTGTGTGTGTGTGTGTGTATCTGTGCAGAGGGTGGAGTTTGGGCCACTCCTGGAGGTGCTCAGGGGACCATAGACATCATCAGAGAAGGAACCCAAGTTGGCTGTGTGCAATGCAAGCACCGACCCCCTGAACTATCTCTTTGGCTCAAAACAAGTAATTTTGCTGAGTCATGAGATCACAGGAGGGCGGCACTGTCCAGGGGAAGTCTTTGAGGAGCTGCTACTATAAAATACTCTTACCAGAAAGAAGTTAGATGGCATTTACCCCCAGACAAATGGGGAAATTTCTTTGCTTAAGGAAATTTTTAAAGGCTATCTAAAGCAGGGGGGTGAGTGTAGTAGAAGGACACTGAGAGACAGCTGGACTGGTCACTTCCTCTGTCCCCTAATTTCACAGTTCTCTCCCTCAGGCCACAATAGCTTTTCACTGCTCTCTGCTCTCCCCTCTCCCCTTCTCCTACCTCCCTCCCTCCCTCCTTCCCTCCCTTCCTCCCTCCCTCCCTCCCTCCCTCCCTCCCTCCCTCCCTCCCTCCCTCCCTCCCTGTCTTTCTCTCTTCTTCTGTCTGTCTCTCTCTCTCTCTCTCCCTCCCTTTCCCTTCTTCCCTTCCTCCCTTCAGATGCCAAGACCACCGTGATGCCTTCCCACAGAAAGACTAGCCAGGAATTGGCCTTTGTAGAAACTATTCATTTTCCATATTTTGTGGGTGTGACAGCCACCTGCCACCTTGGGGTATTGCAGCCAGGGTCACGGTGACTGGAGCAGGCCCTGGGTCTAGATAGTGTTCCTCTCTCCTGTGAACTGAGTGCTCGCTCCTCCCACCCCTCGAGCGCCACCCAGTGAGGGCACAGAGGTGGCCCCAGCTGATAAAGCTGACCACCCATCCAGGAATCTGAGAGGGACCTGGGCTGGGCTGACTGTGTTTAACTCTGCACACCTTCTTTAATGCCTTCCTCTGCCTCCCACCTCAGACTAGGTGTGGTTTTGCAGAAATGATACAAATTCACAAATGCACATTATGCATAGAAAAGCACAAAGAAGAAACTGGAGACCTTCCAGATGCTCCCAGCACCTATTTCCCGGAGCTCATGTGGGGTAAACTTAGTGCAGACGTCATGGATGGCCAATCTTACTTTTTTCCCCTCCTTCCTTCCTTTTATTTTTTGTGCAAAATAAGACTATACTCTGTAGCACTGTAGCACTGTCCTCCCTGTTCATCGATTTGCTTGAGCAGACACCAGTAAAGTCTCCATTGTGAGAATTGTTGTTACTGTTTTTGGCATATCGAATACACCACGGGGAGCTTGCCAGGCTCTGCCGTTCGGGCGGGATACTCTCGTTAGCTTGCTGGGCTCTCCGAGAGGGACAGAGGAATCGAACCCGGGTCGTTTGCAAAGCAAACGCCCTACCCGCTATGCTATTGCTCCAGCCCAAGACTATACTCTACTTATTTAAAATTGTGATGCATATTTCTCAGGAAATAAAACCAGTCCTGCAAATATTTTCTATATGAGAGACATAATCCTACACGTTGGGACTTGGGGCCTTGGGGAAAGTCTCGAAGCCTCCCCAGCCCTCAAGTCTCCATCCTTAGAATGGGAGTGATAAGAAGTGTTTCGTTTCTTTAATAGGCTGAAATGAGGGGCTGGAGTGATAGCATAGCAGGTAGGGTGTTTGCCTTGTACCTGGTCAACCCAAGTTTGATCTCCAGCATCCCATATGGTCCCCGCCAAGCCCCACCAGGAGTGATCTCTGAGTGCAGAGCCAGGAACAAGCCCTGAGAAGTGCTGGGTATTATGCCCTCCCTGACCGAACCAAAAAAAAAAAAAACAAAAAACAAAACCCCAAAACCAACAAAAAAACAAAGCCCAAGCAAAACAAAAGAGGCTGAAAGGAGTTAAAATGGACATGTCTGTCAGAGAGTGCCTAGCAGATAGCCTGCGACAGACAGACACCAAATGTCACTAGGGTATCTTCAAAGAAAGAGATGGGGAAGCAAAAAGCAGTTTGGACAGCATCTAACTGGCCCCAGCTAGGAAAGGGGGTGGTGGCAGCTATAGCCCTTATTTCAGGGAGTTGAGATTTGAGAAGATTCTGCTCTGAAATCAGCTGGAGTTTGCAGCACCCCCCTACTCTTCCCCTCCCCGCCCCCCATTTAGCTTGGTCCCCCTGGAGGGTGTGTCACTGGCCAAGCCCTCAGGGGCCTGAGCATTGCCGTCCCATCACAGCTGCTTGAGCTCCAGAGCGTCTGTGTTCTGCATTCTGCTCAGGTCAATTGGGCTGGTTATGATTCCTGGGTCCCACACTGTCCCGGCAGCCACCGCTCTGCCGTCATCTGGCACTGCACATGCCTGCGGGGAAGTCTGAGGTCAGCCTAGAATCTTCCCTGGATGGGATTCCTCTGGAATTCGTGGGTGATCCCCAAGACCAGTAACTGCAGTGCCTGAGGCCCCATCATTGAATATTGTACCAGGACAAAAAATGTCCTTAATTAAAAACAAAATGTTTCACCAATGGTTCATTTCTATGTTTGGAGAGACAATAACAAAAAGAAAGTTACCTTTGTGTCTATCTCCCACATTTACCCAAGCTCTTAATTCACCCCACCCTCCACCCCTCTCCCACCCCCAGGTAACCAAAGGAGCAAATGCCCTGTCTACCCTTGTGCAAACATCGCATGGCTATAAAGTCGCTTCTTATTGGTATTTCTTTGTTACACACTGCTGGGAACATACTCTGCTCCAGGCCTGCACTTTGCTTGGTTACTGGGAGGCTACTTTCAGCGCTTATAAATCTGTCTCCTTCTTTTTCATTGTTATGTTTTATTCTGGGCTGGAGCAATAGCACAGTGGGTAAGGCGTTTGCCTTGCACATGGCCAACCTGGATTCAATTCTTCTGCCCCTCTCGGAGAGCCCGGCAAGCTACCAAGAATATCTTGCCCGCATGGCAAAGCCTGGCAAGCTCCCCATGATGTATTCGATATGCCAAAAATAGTAACAACAAGTCTCACAATTTGTTGTGAGACGTTATTGGTGCCCGCTTGAGCAAATTGATGAACAATGCGTAAACAGTGCTACAGCGTTACGTTTTATTGTACCATGACACCATAACATTTATTTAACCAGTCTCCTTGGAAGGCTGCTGGCTCACCGTCTTTGTTCCTATAACCAACATCACAGTGAATATCCTTTGTGGTGTGTTGACATCTACAGGGGAGTTCCTAGGGGTGGCATCACGAGGCCACAGGCACAGAGGTAGGAAGTGTTGACTGCTGCCGCCATCTCGCCTTCCTCTGGTGGCAACTCGCCCCCTTTCCCATGAGAACACCCCAATTAAGAGCCATATCCAACTTCTGCTCTTTCCAAACTGGAGAGAAAAACTGTTTCAAAGCAATTTTAATTTGCATTTCATCCAATATCATTCAAGTGGAGCTTGTTTTGTGTAGATCTAAGAGCCATTTTCTTTTATTCTTGGAGTAAACTCTGTTCATCCCTACGCCTTTTATTTTTTGTTTTCTACTGGATTGCTGATATTTTTCCTATTGATTTCTAGATCTTCTCCTAGAAAATTGCATGTGTGTCTTTATTAAAGTTATATGTACAAGTAATAAAAGGGGTCAAACTGCACTACAAGCTGGACTGTAAGAAAGAACGAACCATCCTGGCTTTGCGACAATACGGACCCACCAATTCTCCTCAGAGGGCTGGTTAACAGGACGGTTTTCTTGAGGAGACATGGACGATCAGTTGGTGAACGTACTCCAAATTTTTCTGGGGTGCTTACGCCCACTCCCGAAAAGGCAATTTTTCTCTAACATTTCCATCCATCTCTCTGGAGCACAGCACTCATCCGACTTGGGCTCCTGTGCAGAGCTGGTCGGACAGCTGTTGGGGCAGGAAGAGCCCCTCAACTTTCAGTGGCCCCTCTTGTGCCTTGTCTGAGACTGAGACTCCCCACCTGTCAGCCTCACTGGGAAGCTTTCCAGCAGACTGTTGTTTTGTTTTGTTTTTTGGGTAACTCACTTCGATCCTCTTTCTAGCTTCTAAAACTTGCTGAGGTCTCTCATTCCTTGGTTGCACTCTCCTCTGCACCCCTACATCCTGGGTTTCGTTTCTACTTTTATCTAGGAGAAATAAGAGGGGGTCTGGCCATCCTGTGGGCTCAGAGAGGGGCTCTTGTCGGACTGTACATTCTCGTATTTTCTTCTGCTCTGGGGGTGTGAGTTCAGTCTTCCTATCTCCTTTGGAATCTCCCCTAGAGCACTGGGGCCGGAACACTGGCCTGTCTCTGAGGCAGCCAAGGCTGACATGACGTGCCTTCCGCATGTGGGTGCCCTTGTGGGTAGGTTTCCGTTGCCTCTTGCTTTTTTGAATTTTCTCCTTTTATTCTCCACTCCAGGATCTTCGCTGTGCTTCTCCCCATAGTGCGTAAATGAGCCCCGTGGAAGGTTTGACGGTTTGACGGGAGCAAGAGAGGGGGATGGCAGTGCCATTTACAGCTGCCAGGCAAGAATGGTCTGCCACACCCTCAGATGGCACATTGACACCTCCATAAGTGTGCTACCCTGCAGGGGTCCTTCCCTGGGGCCTCCACACTGCCTCCCTCCTCCTACCAGCCTCCCTCCCATCTCCCCAGACTGAGTCGCTCTGGCTTCTGCATCCTTCCTACCCACAGCCCCACAGGACCCACTGCTTTCTGTGACGGCGTCCCAGGGTACTGGGGATGACCGTACAGAGCCAGAGGCCTGGGGAGCTGGTGGGCTGCTTCCTCCCTGGGCTACACTCTGGTTCCTCAGGATCTGGAGGGAGGGAGAAAGGGAGGGAGAGAGGGAGGTGTGGGGCTGGGCTTTGGCCTAGTGTCTCGCCCCTTTGAGTGTGAAGTTCTGGTCAGATGGAGACAGAAATGAAAAGATGGTTCTGTTTGTGGGAAGTCCCCCTTTCCTAAGTGGGGACTGCACAGTATGGGCAGGAACAGAAAGGGTATCAGAATGACCATCAGTTTCCTGATTGAGATCGGAATTCATTTAGGACTCATTTAGGACTCATTTCCTGTGTTCTCCCCTGACTGTTTCTTGGATGCGATGTTGCTGGCCTCTTGATAATGCTCTTCCTTTCTCACATACAGCCCGTACCCCGCTCCCCAGTGCCCCTGGAGTCGCTAGGACAGCCCACCACTGCGTTACCTCAGGAACGAGGGGCAGTGGTGACTTATCACTCTCACAGATGAAGAAGGGGCTGCACAAGGAGAGCAGAATGCTCACAGGCAGGCTGGAAACGTTCTTCATGACCAACGGCTGGTACTCAGGCTCCAGGACGCAGCTGGGTGTCTGTGAGAAGGGAGAGGAAACTGTGAGCCCCACCAGCCTCTCACAGCGAAAGTCTCGCTGCCACTGTGACCAGTTGACCCTGTCCCTCGGCCCCCTCCCCATCTGGTTTTCTCAATAGCTGAGGTTTAGATAAGGTGTTTGAAATGTCTGATGAACTACCGGGAAGTGAATCCAGATCAATCAGAGAACACTGATTAGATTTATCATTCTCTGCTGCCTGCCTCAAAAAACAACAACCACTTCGGAACGTGGCACTTGTGGGCAAAAGTGCTCTGCTCGAAGAGCCTCAGGGTCACGGCATGGGGTCCCATGGGTGCACGATGCCATGCAGAGAATGCAGGAATCATTAGAATGCAGGAAACGTTCTTCCTTAAACAATATTCTTTCATGCTGAAATTTTTCAATTTGCAAATATATTTTTCTTATTATGGTGGTTAATGCTGCTATTTCCCCCAGCCCCCACCATTTCCCCCTCTGATAACGCTCGGATAATGCATTTAGAATCATCGTGTCACTCTATTAGGTATGTCAAATTTAATTTTTAAACCAGAAGAAGCGTAAGCAGCAGATCTGAGCTGAAAGTTCTCAGGCTGGTTTTCCTCCTTCCGATGGGGACCATCTTATTTCTTTTATGCCTGGCCGAGGGTTAGCGTCCATCAGCGGGAGGGCACCAGAACCTCTGCTGTCGCCCCCACAGGGAGCCTCCCTCCAACCATGGCCCAGATCTTCCAACAACGCTAAGCTGAGCTTCCTGTCCCCTTGTTCCGATTTGCTTTCTCTCTGAGTTCCAACTCTATTAAATCCGTCTGACCCCTCCCTTTGATCTGACTCTGCTTCTAGCTCCACTGTGGTCCTGCGGCTCTGAACGAACTTGGGTGATGAGTGTCTGTAGCGTCCCGGCTACCACCACAAGTAGTGCAGACTGGGTGGTTTACATTCTGGAAACTGCATGTGTCACAGGTCAAGGGCCCAGCAGAGCCAGTGTCTGGTGGGGGCCTCATGCTGGTTTGTGGACAGGACCTTCTCTCTGAGTCCTCAGATGAGTGAGAGAGAAGCTGTTTCTGCCAATTCTCAGAAGGCCACGATCTCTTTCAGGAGAGCCCCGACCCCAGGATTTAACCGGCTGGACCCACTTCAAAGGGTCTGGGAGGAAACCCAATGGGCACCAGCCCTAAAGGTGATGGTGCCCCCTGCCTTGGTTGTTCCCCCTGATTCCTCTGTGTGCTCCTGGATTCAGTTTACTCCTCTCCATGGTAACGAAGGTGCTGGGCTCCCCTTGTTTGCACACCTAGCTGCGGGCAGGAAGGAGGCAGCCCCCCTCCCCCCAGGCCTTTCCAAGGCTGCCTCAGAACTGTCTCCTCAGGGGCATGCGCAGAGATCATGGCTGCAGGTAGCTGTAGGGAGGAATCCACCCCTGGTTGGTTTGGGTATGAGGCCATCTGGAGAGGGGCTAAGGCACAGGACGGCCCTCCTATTGGAAAATGATCCCCGCCCTAGGCATAGTCTGTCTCCCCAGAGAGCTGGGACAGGTTTGCTCCTGGACAGGAAGCAGAGTGGTTGCAACTGCCCTTCATCCCACAGAGATGTGGGGCTGATCTCTCTGGCTGAGGCTGACGCAGCAGACGCAGTGGACGGAATCTGAGGAGTCAGGAGAGAAAGATCCTCCCTGTCCTTTAGAGCCTAAGGCACTAAACCAGCTCTATTTGCTTTGAGCCAGGAAGGAGATGGGACCGATGGGTGCTAGAGAATCTTGCTTGAACACCAAGAAGGAGCTGGGTGAGGAAGAGGCATGTGTTAATTGTCCCTGATGAGGAAATAAATAGTGAAGAACAGGGCTTGGACAGATTCCAAATTAGTGATATTTGGGGAGGGGGTAGAGGGAAGGACAGAGGGTGGAAACAACTGAACAAGGACTAGTGAGGCAATGCATTTCCACACTTAATATGTGTCATTTTATTCTAGGGATGAAATCCAAACAATAGATACTTTTTGCAAGAATATGCTTTGAAAAAAAATAAACCCAAGGTTATGGATATAAAGAAAAGGAACATTACCCACACTTTATTTTTATGAGTGTTTATGGGCTTAGGAAAAAAAACTTAACAAGAAACGAAGCTGCAAAATTAATGTATACTGTAATGTATTGTGCAGATAGCTATCAGTGAGCTATCAGCTTGCTGAATTTTCTCTGGATAGTTTGGAGAAAATAGGATACAAATGTGATGCAGCTGCCACCAATAAGTGTCTTTTCTGACCAAAAAAGGGAAGAATTTGAAACAAAGCAAGAGTGGCTCTATACTGACAGAGGAATTCTTTTCTTTATATGTCACCTGGCACTGTTCCAGCTTCTTTGGGTCCTGAAATAGAGACCCTTGTGCCCTGCTTGGCTGCCTGGGCTGGGTTTGGACTGACTCAGGGGCGGTGCTCACTCATGGAGTGAGGGACTCCAGCTTGTCCACCCCCCCCCCACCATCTGCTCCCTTAACCAGTACTGTCCCTGCCAAGGTGCTCAGGGACCCTCTCCAGCTTGAGGGAAGTGAAGGGGACACCTGAAGAGTCCCAAGTTGCATCCTGCAGAGAAATCTGCGTTGCTCAGTCTCCCATGACCCACCAGGCCCCATCACCTACCTGCCCAGAACTATGGGGAGTTAGGAACAGCAACTGGCCCCTTAGTTTGGACTGGGTCACGCACAGGCGGACCCAGTGAGGGACAACAGGGACAGGTGTGCAGCGGGCGTGACAGTGCATTCAGAACTACCCGATCCACAGGAATCAGCACCTTTGAGTGCCAGGTCTCAGGAAGGACAGGGGAAGTCAAACTTTCCCCACGACTGACACTTCAGAGGTACAAAGGCCCAGACTTAGGATTTTCAGCTGGATGTGCATTGGCCTCCAAAGTTTCAGAAAGACGGGGAACGGGTGGGCAGGGGTGACAGGGCCCTCGCCCCGCTTACCTTCTCTAGCCGGTAGGTGAGCTGTTTGGTGGACAGTTGCAGGAGTGGCTCAATGAACTCGCACAGGACCCGCACGGTCATCACCTGGTTTATCCCCTGCTGTGTCCCGATCATGGCGTGGCACACCAGCCGCTCCTGGACTACCTGTGGACATGTGCCGGGGACAGTCAACGGACTGACCGCAGTGTCCTCCCTGCAAGAGGGGCCCCAGGAAGTGCCCATTCCTTCGAATACAACATTTGCAGGGGTCACACAGTCAAGTTGGGATGGTTTTATGTCTTAGAGGGGTCAGTTGCAATGACATTGTCAAGTTCTCAGTCTATCTCTTATCTCTGTTTCTATCTCCGCCCCCCACCCCCAATTCTCCCTGGGACTCAGGGCTTTCTCCTGGCTCTGTGCTCAGGGAACACTTCTGGCAGGTGGGGTGGGGGCTTATCCAAGGCCTGGGATCAAACTGTGGTCGGCCATACACAAGACAAATGCTTTAACCCCTATACTATCTCACTGGCCCCTGAGAACCTACTTTAAGGAGAAGCATTTTAAGGCTTAAGGGCATGTACCTACAGAAGCAAACAGGAAATTCAACTGAGCTGAACTGTGAAAGCAAAGGCTGCTACCATGGAAACCACTCTCCTCCTCAGACAACCTTCCAGGGGCCCGTCTCTGACAAGGGTTATGGAGGAGAAAAATCGCTTCCACACCAACATGCCACCCTCTTACCCTGGGGTGTGCAGAGTAGCCTTGGAGGGTCACATTGATCGTCTGGCCTGGTTGGAGCTCCATCCTGATAGGGTGAATCTGAAAAACGGGGTTCTGGGGATCCTTGGAGCCCTGGAGTGTGGGGAATTTCTTCCTTGGCCTGATCTTGGGCAGGCTCTTCCTGGCCTTGGGCTGGAAACCTTCATTCATCCAGAATAGCTGCTGGGCCCGGCGTCCTTTATTGGTCAGTTTGAAGCGGTACACGTAGGTGTCCAGGCTGGAAAGGGTGTCCAGACAGGAGGAGAGGAATCAACTTTCAGGTGGGCTGCTCTTTTCATACCCTTGGGATCAATTCCTTGGCCATTTGAAATGTGAGTGAATAATGAATACCGTGTAAAAACAAGAGGCTAGAGAGATAGCACAGTGGTAGGGCGTTTGCCTTGTGCGCAGCCAGCCTGGCTGAGCCGGGTTCGATTCCTCTGCCCCTTTCAGAGAGCCTGGCAAGCTACCGAGAGTATCTTGCCTGGGCGGCAAAGCCTGGAAAGCTACCTGTGACGTATTCAATATGCCAAACACAGTAACAACAAGTGTCAAAAAAATGGAGACGTTACTGGGCCCGCTCAAGCAAAATCAATGAACAACAGGAGGACAGTGTTTTACTGGCACAGACAGTGCCAGTAAAACCAAACAAACAAGCAGGAAGCTCAAGAGAGATGCCCGAAGAGCAGTAGCAGGGTGGGGTTGGTCCCCAAGATGCTGAGTCCTGAGGAGGAGTCTGGGACAGTGACCGTCATTCCCCATCCATAGTCTTTCTTTGTGGGTTAAGACCACCGGAGACCCTAGAAAACCAGCTAAACTGGCCAGTTTTTGAAACAAATTGTCCTCATTTAAAGATATTCTTTCATCCATTCATCCTTATTTATTTAATCATTTTGGTTTGGAGCCACACCTGGCTATACTCAGGGCTGACTTCTGGCTCTACACTCAGGAATTACTCCTGGCGATGCTCAGGGGACCCGCTGGGATGCCAAGGATTCAACCTGGATTGACTACACGCAAGGCAAGAGCTCTTCCAGCTGTGCTATTGCTCTGGCACCCTCACTCTCCTATTCTGCAAATATTTATCCAGAATCTCTTCACTGTCTGGGGACTTTCCAAGATACTGGAATTTCTAAGATACTTGGCTTTCTACATCTTGGACCTCTAAGATGGGTTTTGCTTGGAATTTAAACAGATTATTTTTGACTTTTTTAGGGAAAAAGATGTAGAGGATTTAAAAAAATATTTTAAATTGCATTAGGTTTTGAGATTCCATCTAATTTGCACCTTTGAAGGCAAAGGCTTCACATCTGACCGTTCCTCACATAAGGCGTGCCAGGAGGATGCATTCAGAGCCACACTCCCTTCTGTTCAGAGGGTCGACCCCGACCCGGTACTACCCGTTATTTAAATATTCTACTGTAGCTTTTCATTTCGGGAGCCAGCTGCAACCACGTCAATGACCGGTCAAGGAGGCAATCAGAGGCAGACTACTAAAATCCAAAACTCAAACCCAAATGACTGCCTTCGCAATACCTGATGATATACACTGGCAGTGAATTTCTCCCTTGCTAGAGATTTTCTATGTAGGTTACTAGGAGAACAAAACTCTCTTCCCTACACTCGAGGGGTCAGCAGTTTTTAGGGGTCAGAGAGGAGAGCTCTTGGTGGGCTGGGGGGAGGGTCAGAACTGGTCAGGGTACAGCCACTTCGAGTTGGTCTGAAGAACATGCTTCCCCCGAGCCTCTTCTGAGGCTAGGGGAATGCAGCTTAGAGAAAACAACCTGGTGAGGGCCAGGAAAGGCTCAAGGCTGGAGGATCCACCGGGATGGGGCCAGTGACACAGGGAAAGTGAGGGACTGCGGGCCTCCGTTATTTACTTCAAAACAACTTTCTAAAATTGACAGCGGTAAAAAAGGCGTCGTGAGCGCTGCCCTACCTAAAATGCGCTCCCAGATTGAGTTCTGGAGCAAAGGGCTTGTCGGAGACAATGGTAGAACCAAAGCCAGAAGCCTGGACAGGAACGTGGTAGGTGATGCTATTTTCAATTTCCAGCACGACTGTGTCTTTGAATGTCACTGTGTCATTCAGGTTGGCGGTCAGGGTCAGTTGGACATCGGCTTCTGGGGGGACCAGGCCTTGACTGGGTTCAATCGTCCACAGGGACTTTTTGTGTGCCTGCAACACAAGACGACAAGTGATCAGTGAGGATATTCTTGGCATTTCATTCTGCCCATGTCAAAGCCCTCGAGACTTCAAATGCCTGGCACTGTGGAATGCGACATCAGAGACAAACAAGATTTTTTCCTCCCCCCCAATCAAAGCAGCTGGGTGTTTGTTGGCTTTTCCCCTTTTCAAAGAGCACCCCGATTCTGAAGAGCAAACCTACAATTCTGCTTTTGAATGCTCTGTGAAGATCTCTCTTTCTCAAGCTGACAGCCCTGTCTCACTAACCAGCTTCTGCTAATTATCTGCTCTCACTCATCTCTGAATGCCGAGGTCTCAGCAGAAGGGATGCAGTCCCTTCAAGAAGGTGGAGTTGTTGAAGGAGAGGCTTTTCAAATGCAAAGTGTCTGTGACGGACTGTGAGGATGAGCAGCCCCACAGGAAGTTATCCTGTTTGCTATGATTTCCTCATGCTCCAATTTGACTTGCTGCAATTCCAGACACATGTGGAACTATGAGAGTTGGCCTTGAGCCCCATGGGTAGGTCTACTGCCACTTGTGCTTGGCTGCTCCGAGCTCACTCTCTCTCCTCCCAAAGGATATGGGTCTCAGCCTGGCTGTCCCATTGCAGACCGCCTGTCTGCTCCTCCCACTTCTGTTTTCACCCCTGTGCTCTATTACCATCTCTTAGTGCATAATTGAGTTATTCATCATGTTTGTTTCCTTGCACTAGAACATAAGCTTCCCCTTGAAGGGATTTTTGTCTCCTGTTCTTTTGGGGGCGAGGGACCTCCCAAGAGGTGCTCAGGAGGCTCCGGGCCCCTGTGGATTCTCAGCCAGCCAGGGCTGGTCTGGCTCACTGTAGGCACCTCAGGACACCATGATGCATGGTGCCTCGGTGACATCCTGAGGGTGTGTGAGGGGGGACAGTACTTTTGTCATTTTTGTTTCTGTTGGTATTATTCACTGACCTGTCCCTAGCATCTGTCACTGAGGTTGGTTTATAATGAAGCTTATGAAATATCTGGTAAGTCAGTTAATGTATCTGCCATTTAATTTAATCCTTGGAAGTCTGCCACTTCTTTTGTCACCTCAAATAACTTATTCCAGATTTTGGTAATTTAAACAAGTAAAGAATCTCTTCCCTATATTAAGGAGAGATATGTTTTTGGCGCTTCCCTAAACAGGTATTTGGTTTGCCCCCTTGGAGAAATCAATGCATAAGACCTTTCTCCTTTGTTGAGTGCCCTTGACCTCCCGTGTTCAGCTTTCAGAGACATGCTAGGGTAAAACAGCTCCAAAGTGGAACAGCTAGTTAAGCCTCGAACCATAAACAAACCGCTCTTGCTGAAGCCTCTGACTGGGTCTGAAAGTTCAGATTCTGCTTTCTCGATGGGATAACCCTTTCTCTAAGGTGTCAAGGGATTCTCCCTGGTTTGGGGGTACAGGTGAACTTAAAGGCGTCTAGGTAGGAGTTTATTCATCATGCTTGCATTTATTTGCACACCCAGCTGGGATCTGCTAGCTGTCCAGAATCTGCGCTTTGCTCTCTTTCGTATCTGAGAAGGCCCCATGGGGTGAGTCGTTGTTTCTACCTCACTCTCTCCTAGTCTGATTCTGGGAGTGTGTGACTTCCCTAACGTAGCTGTCCTAGAGCCTCTCTGCAATTTTCATCCTTTCACATTTTGTGACTGTAGGATTTGGAGGATTTCTTGTGATTTCATTCATTTTCCCCACATGATTGTGTGATACGGCCGGAAGTCAGTCGCCCACTGCATTGAGGACCACAGACGAGTGAGCCTAAGGGTGTGCTCAGCGCAGGCACTGGCTCCAGGCCCAAACTCACTGCCTCCCCGCTGCAAGGCAGGAGCCGTAAGCCGCTGAGCTAGCCCGGACCCTCTGCATCTTTCCCTATCTTCCAGCCCACTTGCTCTTCCTTCAGCATGTGTAAATCACTGTTAAAACACCTACTCTGCTGCAAATTTTTAAAAATTTCTTTCTGAATCTGGGTCTTATTATTTATATATTTTAATCCATTAACATCTTTAAAAATTCTACTGGTGAACACTTGGCCTAGGCATTCTTCCTTGCCCACCCTTAATAATCTGCAAGTTTGTTTATATAACTGTAGGGCTTTTGGGGTGAAAGTCACAATTTAATGTTCAATGTTCCCTGGTCCAGCGTTGTGGGGGCACAGGATGTCTCTGCCCCAAATGGGTGGCTGCACAGGCAATCAGGGAACCACAGTGCAAAGGAGGCCAGGGAGGCAGTGGGAGGGAGAAGGAAAAAGTGTTCCCTGGAGCAGAGACAGAGGAGACCCTTTGATGGCAGGAAGTGTATGCCAAACACAGTTTCTTTTTTTTTTTTTAAACACATTTTCTTTTTCCTCCAAATGGGAAATTGAGCTTCATGCATAGGGTGATCCCTAATTATATTTTATTATTGATTAATGAAAGCCAAATGTATGCTACTTAAACTGCACATATGGACAATTCTCTCAAATCATTTAACAAAAAATATCATATCGCTATTTTAATTGCTTGATTGTTTAAATCAACTCTGACCATCCTGCTCTTTTAGTTGGGAAACACTTGCATGGATTAATTTTCATAGAAAATATTTAGAGACACACAACAAACAATACATTAGCAACAGGCTGGCAATGTTGGGCCAGGATGTGACTTGGGTAGTAAAGTGCTCGTGGAGAGCGTGAGAGGGGCTGGTTCCATCCCCGCAGCACCACACAAACCCCTACCCCAACCTCCAGGAGGTCTGCAGGCCCCAGCACTAAAATGAAAACAATTAAAAGCAGAAAGGAAGAGATCACTTAGAAGCTTCAGGGATACTGGTCCCGAGGCAACGGCCAACTCTCCCCTTCACCTGAGATGCTGGCAATGCCAGCCTTCAAAACACCCCTGGGTCCCTGTATTCTTCTGGGCTGGGGGTTCACCAGCAGGGGGCCTGTCCTTTCAAGCCAGGGTAAAACGTGTTCTGTGGGCTGCACTCCAGAGGGGGTTCTACTCCCAAAGAATCCCTCCTACTCGTGTTTCCTTGGGATAGGCTCAGCAAGAGGAGAAAGAGAGAAGAGAAATGCAGGAGGTGTCGTCAGGGCCTCAGCTCCCAGTATAGCTGCAGAAAATCAGAGTTCCGCGGGGCAGCCTGAGGATGAGAAAAGCAGGAGTCTGCAGCTTGCAGGGAGCACCAGAAAGTGCCCTGGGCAGGATCGCATGGGGTGGCAGGACCTGGGATATCGCTAAAATACAGATTCAGTTCACCTGCATACTTGGTCAGTGGCTTAGCCATTCAGGACAGCCCCACAGAGACTTCAGTAAGAAGGTTCCAATATTTATTTGCTTACTTGTTAATTATCTGCAGTGTGGGGGTCGGACCCAGAGCCTCACGCATGCAAAGCAAGTGTTCTGCTGCGCTGCAGCCTCCGAGCCCTGCTAGGGCATCTACCACAAACCCAAATGCCGACTCCCCCAGTTTATAACAGGAAAAATCCTACGCATCACACCAGAATGCTAATTCCACTTCCTCTAGGTCTGAAAGTCAGCACTGGAACTAATATATTAAAAATATTTAATAAATGAAGCCAAGAACAGTTCCCAGGATCAACATTGTTTATAAGAAGAATGTCAATGCATGTAAATGAGGAAACTTTAGTTTTTGTATTAATGAAAATTAGAGGATTAGCTCAAAGTTAAGAGTTCTGTCCATGGCTTTCCATACAAGGTACTTCTAGTGACATTGGTGTAAAAGAAACAATTAAGCATTAGTGTCACATTAGAGAAACTGGACCAAGGTAGGATATTTGTAAGATAATTATCTCTGTATTCAAAGGACAGTTGTAGAAAATAATGCTGGCTTTTGTTTGACTCAATCTTTTTCCCTAAAATTTTCTCATTTCTACTTATACCAAATTAGCCTGAAGGGAGTATTAAAATGTTGAGAAAAGTTAGCAAAGTATGTCTTTCCGTGAAAATAAACTGCATTTGTTTATAATTTTATCTTAAAACATTAGAAACCCAAAGAATCCGCATACCTTTAATTTTCAGGATCATAGATTATTATTAGCAAGAGAAAGTTTGACTTACTGAATTTTCAGGCTGACTACACAATCAAAATGACACACGCAAATCACAATCAATTTTCTCCTTAGACTGCAAGTCTTTCTTTGGTTTCTTTAAGTCTTCTATCTCAGATATGGAAATGCTAGCTCCCGTAACAGGAAGGTTCCTGTTATCAGGGAGTCAATTCTGGCTCATTTCCAGTTCTCAGGAATTCCAAAGGGTGGGCCTCTGCTCGATCAGTCATTTGGGTAGACCTCCTACTTCCGATTCTGGCATGTTTACTTTGTGATTTCTAAGGGCCTTGGACCTTGACATCAGGCTGGACAAGCAGAAGGAAGAGAGAGTCAGATTCTATGCCTGAGTCTGGGTACACCCTGCCTCTGCCCACTTGTCATGCTAAAGGGGCTGGGAAATATCCTCTGGCTTTAGGTTCAGGAGAAATGGGAGTCTGTGGGGGAACTGCCAGCCTCTCTGTAACGCTGCCTTGTTGGTTCTGCTCCACTGCCCAGGCCTCAGGAGAGTGGACTTCTGAATGCCAATGCCTTCTTTCCTGTCTACCTGTTTATTGTCCTGTTCTCACCCTGGCACAGGTCAGCCGTCCGCCCAGAGTGGAGACAGTGGAGAGTCGCTGTCACGGGTGGGCGTGCTTGTCCAAGGTGGGAACATTTGTTTCCAGTGGACAGGGACTACTCCTTTTCTGACCCTGTCACAAAGGTTGACTGCTCTAGAGCCAAGGAGAATCTGAAGTTGCTCCCTGGGGCTGAATTGGTGATTTTTCCTCTTGATGAAGCTTATTAATCAATGTTTGGCAGACAAGCCAGCTGCAGCATCTATCACAGAATCCAAGGACAAGGCACGTTCACATGCCAGCGACCGAGGAACTGAACTGTCCTTCCCTCAAGTCAGGTTCTCACTCACTGACCCCCCGTAGGTATCTCC